TGGAGTTTCAGCTTCACCATCAGTCCTTTCAAAGAATATTCTGGACTTATTTCTTTTAGGATGGACTGGTTGGATCTCCTTGCAGTCCAAGGGACTCTCAAGAGCCACCGCCTCCATGTGCTCCTAGTCCACTCTATGTAGTTGCACAGATGTATAGAATTCTCTGGCAACCATGTGTGTTGCACAGAAGCAACTTTGCTGAGTTATGGATATTTTACTGGTTGTAGACTGAAGGAGAAAGACAAAGCAACGTAGGCTGCTGTGATGCTGACACCATCCTATCATTTCACATTAGTTTTTAATTGTGACATGTGTACCATATTAATATGTTAATAACAGAAAATATTGAGAATACACAAATATATGGGGACCTGTACTATCTTCTCATTTTCTATAAATATAAGACTGTTCTAAAAATAAAATATATTTAAAGTCTATCTGTAATGGAAAAAAAAATCATCAACTTTCATGAGTGAGAAAAATCATATCTACTTGCCTCCTTGACCTTTGCAGATTAGGATATCAAATAGAGTGAGAGCAGGTAGGTAAAACTAAGATAACATCATTTCATTTATTGATAATAGGAAATTCAGTCTTCCCAGGACCATGGTGGAGGATAAAATTAAATTATCCAGGGAGTTAGGTAATGATAAAATAATAGAAACAGTAAGGTTAAATATTTTTTAGAGAAATATGTTCGAAGCCACATGGACAAAAACTGGTTATTTTTCAAAGACCAGTAGGTACAAGTGATGGTAGAGAGGGAGAAGCAGTCAGTAAAGGAAGAGAACGAACTCTTCAAAATATCTACTATGTCCCAAGCACTGTTTGGTTTTATATACCACATCTCACAATTAACCCATAAAGCAAACCTATATGGTAGTTACAATTCCCCACATTGCAAATGAAGAAAATTAAGCTCAGATATTTTTGAAATAAAAAAATACATGGAAGAGGTGGGAATCAAGCATACTTGTTTTAGAATTCATCTCTTAAACCTTTCCTGCTAACTTGAACAGATGCTGAGAATAATGGAGAGTAATGGAAAGTAATACTACATTATAATTAAAGTGCATTGTATCTACATTTTCTCCTTAAGCCTTCATCTTGATATTTGTTTTAAATGTCATCTCTTTGCTGATAAATTTCAAATGCATATCAGGCTTTAAATTTGCCTAAACCCTAGACTTCTAAAACTGTTTGGTATCTCACCTGGATGTTTGTTTAAATGGTACTTCAAACTTATATCCAAAAGAGATCTGTTAATTTCTGCAAGCCTCCATTTTTAAATTAAAAAAAAAAACAACTGTAATTCTTCTCCAGTCTTTTCCATATCAGTAAATATCACCACTATCCACTCAATTGTTCAAGTCAGAAACCCAAATCAAATGAGTTTCCTCCTTTTCCCTCAACCTGCTGCACTCTTTACAGTTCTCATTACAGAAAACAGCCTTAAACTGTTCACTTCTCTCTCAAATTCGCTGACACCACCCTAATCCAAGCTGTTATGATTACAGAAACTTCCTTATTCATCTTCCTCTCAGTAATTCTCCACACCACAGTCAGAGAATGTTTTCAAAGCATAAATCAGATTATGTTCTTATAGCAATCATACTCCTTTAGTGACTTTCAAATATTTTTCAAGTCCAAAGTTTATTGAACTTTACTGTGACCTAATGCTTCCTACCTGATCTGGCTTCTATCTCTTCAAACTTGTTTCAACAATTTCTTCTCTGTTTGCTTCTTCAAATACATGACAATGTTTTTTCCACCTCAGAACTTGGATTTAATGTTCTGTTTTAATCTCTTATCTCTCATTTTTCAACTCCCTGATTTATCTACATCTTTCAGATTTCAACACAAAGATCACCTTCACAGAGAGGCTTTCCTTCACTATTCCATCAAAATTATTTCTCATTCTTGTTGTAGGTCCAAGTTATTATCCAATCATCTTGTTTCCCTCATGATGTAATACATTCTATAATACATAATATAATCATCTTTTTCGGAGTCTTACCATTATCCCTTCAGGCAGATTTCCAGTCAGACTTCACCATTTACTCAGTGGTGGCTTCATAGAAGGTAGCATTAGCACCTCAGCAAGCCTCATCCTCACCACATCCAGTGACTTCTCTTTCCAGGACCCAAGCAAGAAGTTTCCTGACATGTTTCTCTGTCACCCAGTACGAGGTTTTTCCAGTTGCCAGACATAGCCTATTGTACCTCAGCAAACTTCCTACCATTCTCGCAGCCACAGAACCACAGCCTTCAGTAAAGTAAGTTTGACCTCATCCTTGGTAGAGAGAAAGAAATGTTTCCAAGTTTGTTCTTCCAGTGAGTACTGCCTCCTGAGCCTTAGAGGTAGTGACTATTCTCTAATCTACTACGTCTATATTCTTTAAAGTTTGATTTATTCCTATCAGTATTTTTACCTGTTTTTATTACTAAGTTCTTTGCACTAAAATTTATGTATTACTGGGGAATAATTTCTGTTTCCAAGCTGAACTTTGAATGATACACTGACACATAGGTTTCCGCAGTTGTTATATTGATTTGTATTGCTAGAAATATAACCTTTTTCCATATCCTTGCTACAAATACTATTGTCAAATGTTTTTATTTTAGCCATTCAGATGAGAATATCAATCTTTTAATATGTTCTTTATTTCAGCATTCATAGTTCTTTTAAAATCTTTCTCTGCTAACTCCTATTTCTAGGTAATCTGTGTGTCTGCTTCCATGGTATGTTCCTATTCTTAGTTACTGGTCACTATCTTGCACCTCTTCACATGTCTAGTAATTCTTTATTTGTGCTATGCATTTTGTATAAAATAACCAAGGAGGCTCCAGCCATCTTCCATCTGAAAGTAACCCCTTTTCTTGATTAAATAGATAAGGGAAACAGGTCATCAATTACATCTAACCTGGAATTCAGTGAAGTGAAAAACCAATCAGAAGTTTAGAAAGATTTGCGCTATCTTACTCTGTAAGAATGGTCCTCTTAAACTTCTGATGGAATATCTTGCAGGTCTACATATCTTCAGTCCAGTAAGCCTAAAGGAGATTCTATTCTGTCCTTTATAGTTTTGAATATAGGTCTTTAGTTTTCTACTTGTTATAACTCTAAATATGCCAGGTGTCTGGGGTGGGGAGGTCAATTGTGTGCTTTTCCTCCAGTGTGACTTTGGCTTCTGAGCTTCACAGGTTTACAGATTTCATGCTGCCTTTTAGAATCCCACTTAAAGCTCTCTACATCAGTTTAAATATCTCAAAGGGAAACTTGATCACATGGGACCGCTTCTTGTTTCCAAGATGTCATGCCAGCCAACTATAACCACCAAAATGCGCCTCTTTATTTCAGTAGAGTTCTTACTTGGAGTAGAGGGTGCAGGGATTGATTCTCAGTCCCTAGTTAGAAAATAGCTACAAGAGAGAAAATGGCCAATATTTCTAAGGTCAGTTTAAATGGATTGCTTATTCTTCAGAATTGAAAATAATCTGGTCCTTATAGCTTCTGCAGTTGTCTGATAAATATAATTTATCTGGTTTCTTCTACTGTTTTCAGTTTGAGTGTCAGGCTACCAAGAACTTCCCCATCCTACTTGGAGGCAGGAGTACCCCAAACTGTTTGCTTACATTTCCTTTAAAAGGGAGATTTTATCTGAACATTTTACAGCTATATTTCCAATACCAATAAGTTTCTACAACATAAAAGGTGCTAAGGAACTGCTTGTTGAACTTCTGAATAAATAAATAAATAGTACATAAAAAGTCCTTGGTTCTGCTAAGTACTCATAAGTCTGGATATGCAAGTCTGGGGGAAAGAGCTAGGAAAATATGAACTACTACACAAATTAGAGGAAGCTCTCAAGGACAATGTTGGTGAAAAAGTGAAAACAGAGATGAGAAAGGATATGGGTGGTGAAATGGCTTATGTGGCTGTTAATATAACCCTATCTATATAAATCACAAAATTGTGATTTGAATGGACTTCCTGAGAAAATACAATGAAAATACAGTTTTACATCTACAGTGATGTGATAAAGACAGAATCATAATGCAATATGCTGGAGGCAGAGAAAACCATAATAGAATAAAAAGTCCTATCCTCTTCCTAACACCCACAAATGATTAGCAGAAATTTTGAAGAGATATATGAGTTTCCACAAATTGTGAGATTAGCAGTTCAAGTTAAGCTGAAGTATCTCCTTGAGTCCAAGAGAATGCCAGCAGACATACAGGTTACCTGAATGACACATGCATGAAGTATCACCTTGAGTCCCAAGAGAATGCCAGCAGACATACGGGTTACCTGAATGATACATACCTGCAGTTAATCCAGATAAACTAATATGTCTGAGAACATGTCCTTGCAGAACACTTCAAAAGAGGATAGTGTAAACAAATGGCCTAATATATAACTTGTAGAATAAGTAAAGCCAGAGTGGTGAACAGAAATTTGTATTTACATAACAAGTCTTCACAGTTCCAATGAAAAGTTAACTCCTATGATGGAAGACTTGTAGCAGACACAGTCATCGTCTGTACAAAGATGAATTCTATTCAGAAGTAAATAGAGGAAAACATGGACTTTTATTTTATTTGCATAAATTTCATTTTGTCTCATTAAATAATAAGCCTGGTGACTATAACCTTTTATTAACATCATATGGGAGTAGGGTTATGGCCAGGGACAAACATTTGTTATTTTTATTGTTCAGTTGCTAAATTGTGTCTGACTCTGCAACCACATGGACTGCAGCATGCCAGACTTCCCTCTCCTTCACTGTCTCCCAGAGTCTGCTCAAATTCATGCCCACTGAGTTGGTGATGCTATCTAAACATCTTATCCTCTGCCACCATCTGCTCCTTTTGCCTTCGATCCTTCCCAGCATCAGAGTTTTTTCAATGAGTTAGCTCTTTGCATCAGATAATTAATTTACTATGTGTTGTAAATTACTTTTCAATAGTACAGGGGAAAAGAGACCTGTAAATAATACCTTGTACAAATGTTGAATCCTGATACCAGCCGTCAAACCAACAGGTTCTTCTTCAAAATAAGCATTTTGAACTGTACTAACAACTTGCATATCTTCCTTTTTCCTAATGCTTGTAGGCCTTCCAAGCCAGTAGCCTTTCTAAGAAAAGAAGAAAAACAGAATCTATCATGTGACAGAAAAATAAAATGTTCCTAAACTTGAAAACATTTTGACTCATTTCACATCAGTTTTCAGATGGGTTGCAGCAGATAACTTGAAAGGAAATTTGGAAGCAAATAGCCTACAATTTTAATTCCTACAGAAGAACTACAAAATATGCTATTTAAAATGTCACTTTAATATGGTTCAGCAAAAAGCATTCTATCATTCTGAGTCAGTCTCTTTATTTGGACATGTGACCTAAAGATCCTTAAAGATTGCTAAGACCCTTTCAATGAATTTGTGAGTTCAAAACTGCTTTCATAAAAGAATTTAATATATGTATTCTTTTTCATATTCTGTTCCATTATGGTATACTCCTAGAAAATAACTCCTAGAATGCTTGGTTTTGAAGGCCAGTGGGGCTTACTTTCAGAAGTCTTAGGAGGCTAGGGGAAATAGACACTTCACTTTCAGAGGGCACACAAAAAATATCACATTCTCTAGGACCCAGAGAAGAAGCAGTAATTTGAAAGAAGCTTGGGTAATGCTGTTGGGTCTGCTAATCTTGGAGAGACCCCTAGAAAGGCATGAGGCCACTACAGCTCACCTTGTGGATACAGACACTGGTGGCAGCCATTTGGGAGAGCTTATTGTTCCACATGGACACTTGCTGGCAAGCACCATTTTGGAATCCTTTTTCTAGCTGATTAGCCTTAGGGCCCAGCAATGCCCTTGCCCAATAGCCTGTAAGAATCAGCTAGGCAGCAGATGGTCTACCTCCAGACTTTCTGAGCTCACAGCACCAGCAGTATGTCTCTGCCCAACTCTAGGGGCCCAGGACCTGGCCCCACACATCAATGTGCAGGCATTACAAGCAGGACCCCCAGAACCATGCAGCTGGGCCTTGTTGCACTCACAGGTGGGTAGGCATCAGCCCCAGAATCCCTAGCTCTGCCTACCAGTGATCCTGCTCTAGCCTTGGGAATAGTCTCACAGGGCAGTGGGTGCATACTAACCACAGGGCAACCAAAGCCCCACAGCCTGTGGTCTGAGCCCAACTACCAGCAGGCCAGCACCTGCCCTAGGACTGGCTGGGCCCTGTGCCCAGTAACAGGTCAACAAAGCTTTGAGACATGCCAGATCCCACAGGCAGCTGTGTCAGGAGCCAGTCCCAGGCACAAACAGTCCAATAACAATTCCGGGATCCCTGGGTCCCACAGGCAAACCATAGGACCTAACTCTGCCTACCAGTGAACCATCACTAGGTCTAGGGCCTGGCCTTACCCACCATTGTGGGGGCAACAGCCCCAGGATCTCCTGGACCCCAACTCCACTTATCAATGAACCAGTAACAGGCCCAGGGCTCCACAGGGTTCAGAATCCAGCCACCTCGTGACCTGGCCCCAGAAACTAGTGTTCAATAGCCCTTACCCAAGGAAGGGCCTGACAACAAACCAGACCAAGGCTAACCAAGCCTGCCAGATTACCCATGGTAATTAGCCCACCACAACAGAAGGACCCACATAGCCTAAATAGGGGGCACACCTAGAACATACAGCGCTGGTAATGAAAGGTGAGTGTGCTGCTGGGATGCATTAGACTTCCCCTTCAAGGCCACTTCTCCAATGTTGAGAAATGAAACTAATATATCAAGTACACAGACATAAAAACAGCAAGTTAGGGAAAATTATGTGACAGAGGAATATGTTCCAAATGAAGAAACAATATAAAAACCCAGAAGAACTAGATGAAGGGGCAATAGACAATCTACTTGAGAAAAATTTTAGAGTAATGATCATAAAGATCATCAAAAAACTAAAGAGAAGAATAGATGCACAGAGAGAGAAGTTAGAAACTTCCAACAAAGAATTAGAAAATATAAAGAGCTAGCAAACAGAGAGGAAGAACACAATAACTGAAATAAAAAATACACTAGAAAGAATCAACAGTAGACTAAATAATATGGAGAAAAAGATCGATAGGCTGAGTATCAATAAGACAGAGTATCAGAAATCATTGATGCTTAACAAAAGAAAAGAATGAAAGGCAATGCAGACAGTTAATGATGCTTCTGAGATGATATCAAGCATACCAGTATTCACATTATAGGGGTCCCTGAAGGAGAAGAGAGAGAGAAAGGGTATAAACATATCTGGAGACGTAATAGCTAAAAAATTCCCTAACCTGGGAAAAGAAACAGTTATCCAAAACCAGTAAGTGCAGAGAATCTCATACAGGATGAATTCAAAGAGGAACACACCAAAACACATTGTAATTAAAATGACAAAATTAAAGGTAGAGAGTATTAAAAGCAGCATAGGAAAAGCAATGCATAACACTTAAGAAAACTCCCATAAGATTATCCACAATAAGCAGATAAGAGATACAGAAAATAATTAGATGTAAAATATAATATCAGAAACAGTAATCATGAGGGGAGCAGAGTACAATGCAGGATTTTAAAAATGCATTTGAAATTAAGAGATCAGCAATTACGTGTGTGTGTGTGTGTGTGTGTGTGTGTGTGTGTGTGTGTGAAAGTGAAAGTTATTAGCTCAGTCTTGTCCAACTCTTTGTGACCCTATCAGGTCCTCTGTCCATGGAATTATATATAGTGATAGTGAAGTCTCAGTCATGTCCAACTCTTTGCAACCCCATGGACTGTAGCCTACCAGGCTCTTCCATCCGAATTATATATATATATATGTATCATACATTTACATAAATATATATATGTAGATGGTAACCTCGGAGAAGGCAATGGCACCCCACTCCCGTACTCTTGCCTGGAAAATCCCATGGATGGAGGAGCCTGGTAGGTTGCAGTCCATGGGGTCGCGAAGAGTCGGACATGACTGAGCAACTTCACTTTCACTTTTCACTTTCCTGCATTGGAGAAGGAAATGGCAACCCACTCCAGTGTTCTTGCCTGGAGAATCCCAGGGATGGCGGAGCCTGGTGGGCTGCCGTCTATGGGGTCGCACAGAGTCGGACATGACTGAAGTGACTTAGCAGCAGCAGCAGCAGATAGTAACCTCATGGTAACCACGAACCAAAAATCTATCATAGAAGAAGAAAGGAAAAAAAAGAAGAAAGAACTTCAAAAACAAACCCAAAACATTAACAAAATAGCAATAAGAACATACATATCAATAATTACCTTAAGGGTAAATAGACTAGATGCTCTAACCAAAAGACACAGAGTGGCTGAATGGTAACACGAACATGGAACAAGACCTGTATATCTTCTTACAAGACTCGCTTCAGATGTAGACACACACATAGGCTGAAAGCGAAGGAATAGAAAAAAGGTGCTCCATGCAAATAGGTATCAAAAGAAAGCCAGATTAGTGACATTTTATCACACAAGACAGTCTCTGTAATAAAGAGTGTTATGAGACAAAGAAGGATACTACATACTGATCAAGGAATCGATTGAAGAAGATATAATAATTTTAAACGTCTATGCACCCAACGTTGCTGAAGCTGAAGCCCCAATACTTTGGCCACCTGATGCAAAGAGCCGACTCATTAGAAAAGACCCTGATGCTGAAAAAGGTTGAAGGCAAAAGGAGAAGGTTAGATGGCATCACCGACTCAATGGGCATGAATTTGAGCAAACTAGTGTGCTGCAGTGCATGGGGTCACAAAGAGTCAGATACGACTTAGCAATTGAACAACAGCGTTACCTCCATCTAATTGATGGTTTTAGCCACCACCTCCTCAATTTCCCATCCTGTCAGACCCTGAAGCTAACCATACATTAAAAAGATCATACACAATGATCAAGTGAGATTTATCCTAGGGACATAGGTATGGTTCTCTTTCCACATATCAATCGATATGATACACTCCATTAACAAACTGAAAAAGAAAAAACATATAATCTCAATAAATGGAGAAAATATTTTGACAAAATTAGAATTCCATTTATGATATTAAAAAAAACTCTCTAGGAAATGGGTATAGAGGCAACATATCTCAACAATAATCCAGGCTATATATAAAAAACTGACATCATACTTAACAATGAAAAGCTGAAAGCAGGAACAAGACAAGGATTCCACTATAACCACTTTTATTCTATGTAGTGTTGAAAGTCCTAGCCACAGCAATCAGAGAATAAAAAGAAATGAAAAGAATCCAAGTTGAAAAGGAAGAAAACTCACTATTTTCAGATTACATACTATACATAGAAAATCCTAAAGTTGCTATCAGAAAGCTACTAAGGCTCATTAATAAATTATGTAAAGTTGCTTGGTACAAAATTAACATATAGAAACCTGTTGCAATCAATACTCAGAAAAGTAAATTAAGAAAATCAACACATTTACAGCTGCATCAAAGACAATAAAGTACCTGGGAATAAACCTATGTTAGGAGGTAAAAGATCTATCCTAATAAAACTATAATATACCATTAAAAAATTAAAAACAACACAAATAAATGGAAAGATATCCTTTGTTCATGAGTTAGAAGAATTGATATTTTTAAAATGACCATACTCCCCAGGGCAATGTACAGATCCAGTGGAATCTCTATTAAAATACCAATGACATTTTTCACAGAACTAGAAAAATAAATTTCAAATCTGTATAGAAACACAAAAACCCCAAAAAGCTAATACAATTTGAGAAAGAACAGAGCTAGAACTATCACATTCCCTCACTTTAGACTATGCCATGACACTACAGTTATCAAGACAGTATAGTACTGGCACAAAAACAGCCATAAAAATCAATCAAACAGAATAGAGAGCCTAGAAATAAACCCACACAGTTATGGTCAATTAATCTATGACAAACGAGGTTAAGACTGTACTAGAGAGAAGTCTCTTCAATAAATGGTACTGGGAAAACTGGAGAGATATATGTAAAATACATGAGATTAGAATGCTTTTTAACACTATATACAAAAAGAAACTCAAAATGGATTAAATACCTGAATATAAGACTGGAAACCATAAAACTCCTAGTAGAAAATATAGGAAGAACACTGACATAAATGATAACAATATTTTTTGGATCTCTTTCCCAAGCCAGAAGAAACAAAAGCAACAGTAAACAAGTGGGACATAATCACTTAAAAATTTTTGTAGTGCAAAGGAAACTATCAACAAAGCAAAAAGACAACCCACTGAATGGGAGAAAATACTTGCAAATGATGTAACTAATAAAGGGTTAATATCCCCCCCCAAAAAAGCCAGGTCATATTACTCAACATCAGAAAAACAAGTAGCCCAAATAAAAAATAGTAGAAGAACTGGATACAGTTTTTCATACAAGATATACAGATGGCCAACAGGCACATGAAAAGATGTTCAACATTGTTAATCATCAGGGAAATGCAAATCAGAACCACAATGAGGTACCATCTTACATCTGTCAGAATCAGTTCAGTTCAGTTCAGTTCAGTCGTGTCTGACTCTTTGCGACCAGAATAGCTATCATCAAAAAGAACACAAATAACAAATGTTGGTAAGGATGTGGAGAAAAGGGAACCCTCCTATTCTGTTGGTAGGAATGTAACTTGGTGCAGCCACTATGGAAAACACTATAAAGGTTTCTCCCAAAACTAAAAATACAACTAACTACAACCCAGCATTCCACTCCTGGGTATATATCCCCACAAAAGAAAAGCACTAATTTGAAAATATATATGCACTCCCCGCCAATGTTCATAACGGCATAATTTGCAAACACCAAGATATGGAAATAACCTAAGTATTCATCAACATGATGGATAAGGTATAGATAGTGAAGTGAAAGTTGCTTAGTCATGTCCGTGACCCCAGGGACTGTCCATGGAATCCTCCAGGCCAGAATACTGGAGTGGGTAGCCTTTCCCTTCTCCAGGGGATCTTCCCAACCCAGGGATTGAACCCAGATCTCCCACATTGCAGGCGGATTCTTTACCAGCTGAGCAACAAGGGAAGCCCAGGAACACTGGAGTGGGTAGCCTATCCCTTCTCCAGTGGATCTTCCCAACTCAGGAATCGAACTGGGATTCTTTACCAACTGAGCTATCAGAGAAGTCCTAAAGTATAGATAAAGTATTCCTATATACACATATAGATGAATATGAAAATTTGTCATTTGTATCAACAGTAATGGACTTGGAGGACACTATGTTAAGTGAAACAAGTCAGAAAGAGAAATATAAACACTGTATGATATCACTTATACATGGACTATAAAAAATAAAACAAACTAGTGAATATAACATAAAAGAAGCAGACTCACAAATATAGAGAACAAGCTAGTGGTTACTAGTGGGTAGAGGGAAGTGGAAAGGGGCAATACAGCGGTAGGGGAATAAGTGGTACACACCTTTAGGTTATAAAACAATCTACAAGATACATTGTGTAGCATAGGGAAGAAGACCAATATTCTATAACTATAAATGGAGCATAACTTCTAAAACTGTGAATCACTATGTTGTATATCTGAAATTTATATAATATTAAACATTAATTATAACTCCATAAAAAGTAAAACAAATAAAAAGTAAAATACATTATTTACCTTTTTACACTGTTGATATTTTTATTGATGGTGTAAAAACAATATTGAGAAAAACTGTGATGCCTTAAAACAAATCAAACAGTAGTATACAAAAAAACAAAAAAACAAATCAAACAGTAGTATAAAACTGTACTAAATGCAATTTTTCACAACTAGACAAACACTGTAAAAACAATTGTTTAATTTAATTGCATCATTGAGGAAGGAGTAAAAGTAACATTCTTTTTTTTTCCATTTATTTTTATTAGTTGGAGGCTAATTACTTTACATCATTGCAGTGGTTTTTGTCATACATTGAAATGAATTAGCCATGGATTTACATGTATAAAAGTAACTTTCTAAGTCTTACTCCTTGAATATGAATTTTTATTATTCTGTGTAATGAAAGGAGAAATATGCACAATGCATTTCTGTAGCAGATCAAAATATAATGGGAGCCCTAAATTATTTCTCATTGTGTTGTGGGGTCAACTAACCACTTTTTAAAATAGAAAGGCACTTTTACCTGAGAGGATGATAGACATGAAAATTATAGTTAATCAAGACTTGGCTATCTAATAGACATTTTTCTTAAAAATTAATAAAGCTGTGCTTCATTTCAAGAAAAAGAACTGACAATATTTGTCACCAATGAAAAAAATTGAGGTTTCTGCTGAGAAGTAAAATTTTAAAAAATTTTTATCCACTATTGTGTAACATATTTCCAATTTTGGCAAAATACCTTGATGACATCATATTCATATTAATAAAGGTGAACCTTTGATGATGTAATTAAGAAATGTGTCATCACTTAAAAGATATTTATTAGTGAATGAATCTTTTCCAAATAATCAAGATAAATTATGACAAATTTATGCTTGGTTAAATATTTATTCAACTTGCAAGATATACTGATGGATATTATTTTAACAGATTAAGAAATGTTCAGTAATATGTTTTCAGATTTCAAACTTTAATCAATAGCTAGTAAATGATCATCAGTTAAGTTTTAGTGAATAACCATACATAAACTTAAGGCTTCCAAAATATGCCACCTTTCAAAAACTACATGCCTATGTAAGGCTGCATTTTTTTTCAAATATTTTAAACAAAACAATAATGCAACAGATTGAATTCAGAGTCAGATACTCACTATCCAATGAGAATCCAGTTATCTTCAATTAAGCAAACATGAAAGATACTTGAAAAATATAAAACATGACACTATTCTCACTAATTTTTTTAAATTTTGAAAATAGTTTTTTCTACCAAAATATTACATAGTTCAATATGTAATGGGTTTATTGGTGATATATTTAAATAAGTTGATAAATATTTTCTAAATTCTTCAGTTTTAATTTCCAAATATGATAAATACTAATAGATATAATTGAACCTGAAGTTCCTTGGGGAGCTCAACAATTTTTAAAAGTGCAGATACATAAAGCAGGGCATTCAAAGCTGGTGCTCTGGGGCAACCCAGAGGGACAGGGTGAGGAGGGAGGTGGGAGTGAGGTTCAGGATGGGAGAACACATGTGTACCTGTAGCTGATTCATGTTGATATGGTAAAAACCAACACAATATTGTAATTATCCTCCAATTGAATAAATTAATTAATTAAAAAAAAGAAAAAAATGCAGAGGTGTTCTGAGAATCACTTGCTTTAAACCACAGACTGATAAAGAAGAGGATGGAAGATGGAGGACAGATAGAAATGTTCCCCATTTTTCTATGGCTTTCAGTTCAGTTCAGTCACTCAGTCATGTGTGACTTTTTGCGACCCCATGGACTGCAGTGCGCCAGGCTTCCTGTCCATCACCAACTCCTGGAGTTTACTCAAACAACTGTCCATTGAGTCGGTGATACCGTCCAATCATCTCATCCTCTGTCATCCCCTTCTCCTCCTGCCTTCAATCATTCCCAACATCAGAGTCTTTTCCAATGAGTCAGTTCTTTGCATCAGTGGCTATGGCTGTAATTCTAAGTAATTTGGACTAATAGTAGAAAAAAAGCATATAATGGTAACCAGATATCTGACATAATTTATAATCTCCTCACTAAGGTCTTAAGGACCTTGCCACACATTCCTTCAGATACAGATTTTTAATAGAAAACCATTTAATTCTATTATACATGTTACAAAGTTAACTCATAATGGTTTTAGTTGAGAAGGAGTTAAAGCTGTATTAGTATCATAAGATTGTGTGGAGGGTGTTAAAATTAAATAATTTTCACTCTTCAACAAACTCAGTATATAAGAACTGGAGTTTCTCTCAATAACAGAAATAATTAGAACTTACTTGCATAAAGAAATACCATGGCTTGGGCACACCATACTTTCCTGGAAAGACAGCATCTATATACCAGGTCAGAAGGCCATATAAGAAGGCATCAAATAAAAGCATTCCCATAATTTGAGCAAGAGTGAGTTCATCATCTGGACTCACTTGTGACAAGAAGTTATTCCACTTAGCACCGTCCTCTGAAATATAATAGGAAATAGTTACTTCAGGTGCCCAAATGTGATTAAAACAAAATTACCTATCAGCTTTATAATTAAACAGAGAAGAAAAGTGCACTGATATTCTCTAGCTATAGATACTACTTACTACTTTCTGATACTTTAAATTTTAGGTTGCTCAAAGAGATAATGAAGTAGTAGTGAAAGGGGTCTCTGCCGATAGCCAGACATGTTGATTAAAATGTTGGTAGGTGACTGAAACAAAAATAAGCAATCATCAGAAGTCCGTAAAATAAGACTCAAAGCAATAAGCAGACCTATTGCTTGAGATGGTGGTCCTATCTCTCCATTCTCTCTCATGCTGATTTCCATCACAATAACCAGCAGGGTATATAAAATTGGAAAGGTATTCATCAACATAAAAAAATAAGGTTCAGGTTCCAGTTTCTGGTTTGGAAAAAGAACTTAAAAGTCACCACTCCATCCTAACAAGTAGGAAGCTGAACTGAAAAGTCTATAACTCTTCTTAGATCAATCAGATAAGTGAGGTCACAGGGCAACACACTGTCCGTAAAACTGGAGAGGCAGATAGGCAAATACAGAGAATATAATTTAATCGAGTAGAAACTCTAAACAGAATCTCTAAAAGATCCAGTTAACAAATTGCTGGGGCCTTTCTAGGACAAGTCTAAAGAATTAAAAAGTCCAGGGATGTTCAAGTCATAAGGAACTTGTGAATTCATGTTTTTGTCAATTTACCTCCAAGATCCTTATCAGTTTCTCACAGCAAATATGGGAGAAAATTCCCCTCATGCTTCCAGGAATCATGGAAGAAGGGAAGAAGGAACCATTTTGAAATGTGCCAGAGCATTCTATTCTTAATTAGGCCTGATTAATGAGAAAGTATTTTACCAGAGCATAACCGACCTAGGGGAAGGAAAAGTCCAACCTGCTCTAGTCATATTGTCTCTTCTAAAGAGGAAAAATCCAAGAAGCACTGATGATTTCATAGATCAGCAACATAAGCTTATCGAAAGACTATAGCCCAATCATAGTACTATGGAATCCTTTCTCTCCCCACTACACCTTACCTCTACGTCACTCATGTCCTATTTACTATATTTCCTTTTCCCTAGACCCTCATGTACACATTTTAACAAAAATTTACACAGCATACTAAAGGGAAAAAAACACGGTTTGAAGCAACTAAAGCAGCATCAGAATCAGACTCTGATATGCAAAATGTTGGAAATATTAAACCAGGTCTATTATAGCATTGAAACATGTATATTATCATATGTGAAACAGACCACCACTCCAGGTTCAATGCATGAGACAGGGTGCTCAGGGCTGATGCACTGGGATGACCCTGGGGGATGGGATGAGGAGGGAGTTGGGAGGGGGGTCCAGGATGGGGAACACATGTACACCCATGGCTGATTCATGTCAATGTATGGCAAAAACCACTACAATATTGTAAAGTAATTAGCCTCTGATTAAAATTAATCAATAAATAAACAAACCAGGACTATTTAAAATCATGATTAACATGATAAGGCCTTGAATGGAAAAAGTACACAGCATGTAAGAATAGACTGATAATGTAGAGAGATGGATAAGAAAGAATAAAGAAGAAATGCTAAGTCCTTGGCATGGCTGTGGTGGGGAAAATGATCGGCAGGAAAGAGGGAGAAAAGCCTGAGAACCCACAGCTAGCTAAAGCCTCTGGAGTAATGGGACAAAGTGCCAGTTGAGAAGTGCTGAGAAGCAATGAGCTGAAGGAAAAACTTCATTTCTCAACAATGCTTATAAATATCTGCAAGTTTGGATTTGGTAGTCAGACAACAGAAAGCATCAACTTGTTTATGAGACTTGTATCAAGTATGTCTGAACTAACAAAGCTGTTTCAGCTTTTGCTCCAATAAATCCTTTCAGTAGCAGCAGCTTTTAAAGAAGATGAAGAGAGCAAACCAGAGGAAATGCCTCCTAAAAATAAAGATGCGGGGAAATATTAGACAAACACTAACATCAGCAGGACCAGACTCCTTCAGTAAAGGAAAACATGGATTTTCTGACAACAAGGAGCTACGGGAGGGAAATATAAAATCTCATCTTGGAAAAGTCCATGACTAAGACCTGTTAAATAAACGATTATGAAATCAAGGTATGATGCAGATGTAATTTAAAATGAGCAGTTTCCTTTAAAAAAAATAAAATTGTATTTAACTATCTTTGGAGCCACTTAAAAAAAAAACACTATCACATGAGAGCTTGAAATTAGAAGTAATTTCTACACAGATTTCAATACATTTGCTAATTTTTTTAGTTTCATACTATTAATTTCTAAAGATTGCAAATAATAAAGAAATTAGAACCTTTTAAAGAATTGCCCCTTTTTAGATATAACTGATTAGACTAGCTCACTAAACCAGAGCAAAAAGTTACTATTTAAACAGCAAGCAATTACTCTTTACCTTAACTCTCTCATTACCTAGAGCAGTCTAGCTCCCAGGAACTGCCTTATAGAAAAGGAGTATTGTATTAAGAGGAAAATGCTACTAGACCATGGACTAAAAGTAAATTTACATAAAAATAACTACAGCATTTTTTCCTTATGGGCATTTGTTTTGTTTCAAGTCATCATCAAGTAGGTTAGCAATGACAGCATTGCTATCAGTGAAGACAGCTGTTTAGCTCTTTAAAAAATATATTTTAAGACTTTCCTGGCTGTCCAGTAGTTAAGAATCTGCCATACTATGCAGGGTACACCGGTTTTGCGGGGTGTGGAGGGGAGGACCTGAGCCCACTTGCCACAATTGTTCCCCCATGCTCTGGAGCCTCTGCTCTGCAACTAGAGAAGGCCCATGCTCCACAAAGAAGAGACAGTAGAAAAAAAATAAAATAACAAAAATATATTTTACAATTTTATGTAAACTATTGAGTATTTTAAATAGTACACTTCAACTTAATGGATCAGGTCTACTTTCATTGGAGAAGACAATGGCACCCCACTCCAGTACTCTTGCCTGGAAAATCCCATGGACGGAGGAGCCTGGTGGGCTGCAGTCCTTTGGGTCTCGAAGAGTCGGACACGACTGAGCGACTTCACTTTCACTTTCATGCATTGGAGAAGGAAGTAGAAACCCACTCCAGTGTTTTTGCCTGGAGAATCCCAGGGACAGAGGAGCCTGGTAGGCTGCTGTCTATGGGATCGCACAGAGTTGGACACGACTGATGTGACTTAGCAGCAGCAGCTACTTTCATTAATCTTCAAAGAACAATCCTTCGCTATCAAAGTAAATCAGTATTTTGAATGTGCCTCTTTTTATGCCGTTATTAGAGCTTGAAGCAAACAATAGGAAGCTGTTTATTTTAAAATACAAACTACAACCCCAAATTTTAATATGTATGTTGTTTAATATTTGGCTGCTTTTAATTTTTAACTGTATAAACACCAAATAATTACATTCATAAAAATGGAAAGTAAAAAGACGCACTTTCTATAACATTGTCAAAGCATTTGTAAAAGCATTTACTAACGTGAAATCCAAGTTGAACTGATCTTAATACAGGATTTCTTATTATAACACTATAATATTGTATCTTAAATGTATACATTGAACAATAGCCTCTGAAAACAATGGCCTTTCAGAACACTTTCTACATTTTCCATAGAAGGAAAGTAAGTCCAACTTTAAATATTTTACGGAATCTCTGACCACATATACTTTGTTAGATCTGTGTGCCATACGGTGGTTTGAAGTTGTTTGTTTTTGTATTTTTGAGTTATATGTAAACATTTTAATGTGCTGGTTAAATTTATAGTCAAATACAAGAGAAACATGCTATATGCTGTTTCTTCATTCATACTAACAATTTCCTTGAAAACTCCTACAGTGTTTAATTTGGAGGCAGCTTTAGACTATTCTATTGGTGAAAACTACTTGCTGAGCCCTTTTAATAGGTAATTATGTCAGAGAAGCAGACTCAGTATATTGTATTATATGCTCTTTTATATAATTATCCTAAATAACTCAAAGTAAAACAATGAAATATATACAAAACTATTAGTTCCTACTTACATGATTTAATTATATCAGGATACATAAACTGAACTTGAACTTATTTTAATGTAGACACACTATCCATTTTAGTCCATTTTACTGTTTATGTTAAAATAACATTACTTTCCTAAATATTATTTTCTTGACCATGGTGCACTGTTGGTGGGAGTACAAACTGGTACAGCCACTATGAATAATAGCATAAAGTTTCTCAAAAATTTAAAACATATGTTCCAGCGATCCAACTAAGTATATACATACATATATATATATATATATATATACATACAGAAAAAGAAAACAGGACTTTTTAAGAGGTATCTGTACTCCTATGTTCACTGCAGCATTTTTCAAAGTAGCCAAGACATAAAAACTATCTAAGTATCTATCAATAGACAAATAAAGAAAATGTGGTATATATATTCACAATGAAATATTATTCAGCCACAAAGACAAAGAAATCTTGCCATTTGCAACAACATGGATAAATCTGAAAGATACATTATATTAAGTGAAGTAAGTCAGACACAGAAAGTGAAATATTGTGTGATCTCACTTGCATGTTAACAGTGTTTGCCAAGGGCTGTGCTTTGGGGGAAATGGAAAGATGCTTGTCAAAGGATTCAAGCTTCCAGCTATAAGATGAATAAATTCTGTGTAGCTAATGTACAGTATAGTGAATATAGTTAATAATTTAAATATGCTTGAAATTTGCTGAGAAGGTAGTTCTTTTTTTCCTAATGTAATTATTTATTTTAAAATTTAAATTAATTAATTTATTTTAATTAGAGGCTAATTATTTTACAATACTGTGGTGGTTTTCGCTCTAAGTGTTCTTAACACACATACACTAAGTAACTATGGTAGCTCAGCTGGTAGATATTCCGCCTACAATGCAGGAGACCCCAGTTCAATTCTTGGGTCAGGAAGTTCCCCTGGAGAAGGGATAGGCTACTC